CCCCCAATGTTGAGCCAATTTTTCGGCAGGACCCCCCAATGCTGAGCCAATTTTTCGGCAGGACCCCCCCAATGTTGAGCCAATTTTTCGGCAGGACCCCCCAATGTTGAGCCAATTTTTCGGCAGGACCCCCCAATGTTGAGCCAATTTTTCGGCAGGACCCCCCCAATGTTGAGCCAATTTTTCGGCAGGACCCCCCAATGTTGAGCCAATTTTTCGGCAGGACCCCCCAATGTTGAGCCAATTTTTCGGCAGGACCCCCCAATGTTGAGCCAGTTTTTCGGCAGGACCCCCCAATGTTGAGCCAGTTTTTCGGCAGGACCCCCCAATGTTGAGCCAATTTTTCGGCAGGACCCCCCAATGTTGAGCCAATTTTTCGGCAGGACCCCCCAATGTTGAGCCAGTTTTTCGGCAGGACCCCCCCAATGTTGAGCCAGTTTTCCGGCAGGACCCCCCAATGTTGAGCCAGTTTTTCGGCAGGACCCCCCAATGTTGAGCCAGTTTTTCGGCAGGACCCCCCAATGTTGAGCCAATTTTTCGGCAGGACCCCCCAATGTTGAGCCAATTTTTCGGCAGGACCCCCCAATGTTGAGCCAATTTTTCGGCAGGACCCCCCGTCCCACAAGTGTTGCACCAGGTTTTCGTCAGGACCCCAGGGTTTGGGCTCTAGGGTTTAGGGCCTAGGGTTTGGGCTTTAGGGTTTAGGGCCTAGGGTTTGGCCTTTAGGGTTTAGGGCCTAGGGTTTGGTTTTGGGCTTTAGGGTTTAGGGCCTAGGGCTTTAGGGTTAGGGTTTAGCGCTTGGGCTTTAGGGTTTAGGGCCTAGGGTTTGGGCTTTAGAGTTTAGGGCCTAGGGTTTTGGGCTTTAGGGTTTAGGGCCTAGGGCTTTAGGGTTAGGGTTTAGCGCTTGGGCTTTAGGGTTTAGGGCCTAGGATTTGGCCTTTAGGGTTTAAGGCCTAGGGTTTGTTTGGGCTTTAGGGTTCAGGACCTAGGGTTTGGGCTTTAAGTTTAAGGCCTAGGGTTTGGGCTTTAGGGTTTAGGGCCTAGGGTTTGGGCTTTAGTGTGTCATGCTTCTTTCTGTAAGGCAAAAAAGATGACACATATCCGGCCTGAAATGTGTCATGCTTTTTCTGTAAGGCGGAAAAGATGACACATTTCCGGCTTGAAATGTGTCATGTTTCTTTCTGTAAGGCGGAAACGATGACACTCTGCAAGGCGGAAAAATGACACATTTCCGGCCTGAAATGTGTCATGCTTCTTTCTGTACTGCAGCAATAGAAACATAAGTATATGCTAGAAATCAAGGCGTAGGGTTTGAGGTTTGATGTCGTCTGAGGGTAACGAAAAAATTTTTCTAACTCTTATGTTTTGGGATTCTTTGGGTGGGTGGGTATTCTTCCAGGTTCTTACTAGCGAACTTGACTAGATACTGCTCGACCAGAGCTGCTGAACCCTAAACACTGAACCCTAAACCCTAAACCCTGAACCCTAAACCTTGAACCCTAAACCCTGAACCCTAAACCCAAAACCCTGAACCCTGAACCCTAAACCCTAAACCCTGAACCCTGAACCCTAAACCCTAAACCCAAAACCCTGAACCCTAAACCCTAAACCCTAAACCCTGAACCCTGAACCCTAAACCCTGAACCCTGAACCCTAGACCACTCCTAACCGCCAACCCTAGATATATACCCTTAATGTAGCTATTATATACCCATTATATAGCCCATTATGTGGTAGGGGTCCCTCCTTTTCCCCTTTGATAACCGCCAACCAATGATCCCCAGCCGGGTTTTGGAACGTTGGTTTCGAGATCCTTGCTGCCTAGAGGCTCTAAAGTAGTTCCTTTTTGGGGTTCAGGGTTTAGGAGTCTATAAGGGATCTATAAAAGGGTTCTATAATGTAGGGGCCTTAATGATTGGGATAGGGTATTGGGGCCCATTATACTATAATCATAGTTAGTGGTTCTTTTTTTGGAGTCTTATTTAGAATCCTATAAGGTAATCCCAAAAAGGAACTACTATGGAGCGTATGGCTGGCGACATCATCCTCCATGCAGTTCCACAGGGCATGGCTTTGGCAGCGGTCTTGTCTATGCCATTCGTGGCTTGTCGCAAGATGGTAGCTTGAGGGTTCAGTTTTGAGGTTCACGGGGTCATTATTTACCCGCTTTTGCTACATTCCCACAAATATTACAGCTCCATAAGTTGGAGCCGGCCCCCTACGACCATCGGGGAAGCCAGCAAGAAACTGGCCAAGGATCGTGCCCTTGGCGGCTACCTAGAGGCTCTGAAGTAGTTCCTTTTTGGGGCTCATATATAGAATCCTATAATCCAAAAAAGGAACTACTGGAGCCTATGGGTACCGGGTTGAAGTACGTTGCAAAGGACATGGAAACCTCAAGGAGTGGCTTGCGACGTTTGTGGAATGGTTGAACTCGCAACCTCGCTTCTAGGCCTCGGCCAACTGCAAGCCCTAAGCCGAACCCTAAGCCCCCCCCCCCGCTCTGAACGAAGCCGAGTCAACAACAGTATCCCAACCCTTTGGACCAAGTACAAGAAACAGGAGTCGAAGATGGGAAAGCTTGGGTCCCGAACATACTCTGAACGGGCCCTCATCCTTAAACCAACCAAAGCCAACCGTAGCTGTGTTTCTGATAAATTGGAGCCTTCCTTGGGAGCAAGTGACCCTTATAAGTACGGGCCCTACGCCCTTATACTGTGAATCCTTATGTGGTATATGACCCTATAACCCCTAAACCCTGAACCCCAAAAACCCTTTTAAAGCCTAAACCCTAAAAGCCTGAAACCCTTTTTAGGCTCACTTCGTCTTTATTACGTAGTGGGCACGAAAGCCGAGGCCGGCGGATGTGAAACCTCCGAGGAACGGCTGGCGTGTCCTACACAAGGAGTTTAGGGTTTCTAGGGCGTTTCAAGTTTGTGCCTGGGAGTTTGGAGTTTAGGTTTTCTAGGGTTTCTAAGGGGTCTTGGGGGTTTGCAGTTTAGGGTTCTCGGGCTTCTAAAGGGTTTGGGGGTTTGGAGTTTAGGGTTTAGGGTTTCTAGGGCTTCTAAACGGTTTGGGGGTTTGGAGTTTAGGGTTTCTAAGGGTTTTGGGGGTTTGGAGTTTAGGGTTTCTAGGGTTTCTAAGGGGTTTGGGGGTTTTGAGTTCTAGGGTTTCTAAGGGTTTAGGCATTTGGGGGTTGAAGGTGTCTTTAAGTTTTGAGTAGTCTTCAGCTTCGTCCCAAGGTTCCAGTGTGGAATTTCATCTTGGACGCAGTTGGAATATCATTAAATGTTTTTTGGCTTGGATGTTGCGATATGGGGGGAACTAAGCAGTTGTTTGCAAGATTTAGATTCGGCTCCTGGTTGGGTGTCGGGGTTACACTTCCGGGGATTAGGGTGTACTGTCTTATATAAGGTTTTAGGGTTTAGAATTCGGATTCTGTCGATGAGCTCCTGAAGAGTGGTTTGACAGGTAGTGATAGGTGTCTGATACTTGGAGGATCATGGGACTTAGTAAGTAAGGTTATAAGTACCTTAATTGGGGTTATAAGTAGTTCTAAGTATAGTTACTTTAATTATGACCCTAGTTGCTAAGTCCCATGATCCTTTAAGTAGTCAAGGGTCACTTACCCCAGGATCTCCATTTACTCTCCGTCGTAGTTCCTGTGCAAAGGTTTAGGGTTTAGGCTAAATTGTGTGGTTTTCCTGATAAGATCCAAACCTTTCACATGAAAGTCCGAACTGAAGCAAGTGATACATTCAACTACAAGCTGTACCACACTAGACCGGCAACGGCTATTGCGAATTCGGGAGCAATTCTTTACATTCCTCAAGAACTTCAAGCTTAGGATTGAGGCTCTTGTAGGATTTTGTGAAGCTTTCTGGCGTTATGCGGGTTGCTACGAGGTTTCGCATCCAGATTTCCAGCCGGCTTCCAGGAAATAGCCCGAAGCAGGAGACTTTTAATCCGAAGTACAACCCACTCACTATGTTTCCTGACCCTACACCCTGAACCCTTTCCAGATCGTTCAGGCCTAGAACTCTTTCCCACAGGGTCCTATGTACTGTTATGGGGGATACATCCCTAAGGCATAGTAGTAATTCCTAATATGGAAACCCTACATTCTACTATATTCGGTACCTACGGTTGATGATATAAATCCTGCATGACCCATAATAAGGAATATACCATAATTCCCATAGTTTAAGGTCCTTAAGGTAATGCAGGATTTATATCATCAACAGTAGGACCCTTTGGGTTTGGGGTACATGGACCCAGGTCTAGAGCCGCACAGCACCCTCAGCCCTCTCGATTTCTACGGATCCTACTATACCGCCGGCTAGACCCGCAACCCTACGGTGCGGGGCTTTCAGGCCTTTAGGAGGTTCAGGGCCTATATCATAGGGATCCTTAGGGGTGTAGGGGGAGGGGGGATAGGGGGCCTTAAGGCCCATAATAAGGACTAATAAGGCTTATTTAAGGAAATATAGTCCCCTACACCCCTCCCCCCTACACCCCTAAGGATCCCTATGACTATAGAGTGATAAAGTTGTCGCATCTTTGATTCAAAGCGTACTGAGCCAACGAATCTTGCTCGCCCTGACTGGCTCAAGCTTCTCGTCGAACGCCGGCCTCCTTGGTACGCTAGCTTCTTCAACAACATGCTTTCAGGATTCATCATGGGACCCTATATTATTTGGATACTTGAACCCTATAGAACAGGTAGTGACATCTGTGTTTGCAGCATCCGGGTGGAGGGTTTAGCTGCAGCAGCATCACGAATTTAAAGTCTGGCCTTCAACGACGCGCGACGAGAGTTCTTTCTGCGGGATTTTGGGTGATGGAGTCTTCCTAGGTGGCACTAGGGGATTGCTGCTTCATTACCAACAAATTTCATGCAGGTACTTCTTTTTCGGAGGGTTTTACACCGGAACCCAGCTTTCTTTGAATCCCTAAGCCCTGAGCCCAATCCCCATTGTATGCAAAGACGACCCAAAGCCATGGCTGTGCAAGCGAGCGCCGGAGATGTTGCAGCGGGGTATGGCGCAGGATCCTGTTTGGTCTAGGAATAGGGTTTCGGGTGAGTGTGCTTGTGTCTGTCTTACGGCCCTAAACTTTACCCTAAACTCTAAACTCCTAAGTTCCCTAAACCCTAAACCCTAAACCCTAAACTCTAAACTCCTAAGTTCCTAAACTCCTAAACCCTAAACCCTCAACTCCTGCACCCTAAACCCTGTTATCCGGCATTCTCTGAGGCTTTTATGCTGGTTCCCAGAACCTTGCACTAGGACCCAGAGTAGGCCCTTATTCCCTTTTTTAGGGTTTAGGTTCCCTTATGACCCCCTTCAACCCAAGAAGGGCACCCTTTTTATCCCTAGGTTACTCTTAGGTCTAGTGCACGGACCTTAGGGAGGTCTCAGGCTCAAGGGGCTTTACCCTGACCCCTAAACCTCAGAAGTTTTAGGCTCAAGCGGTCTTAGTTACCCTAAGCTTAAGCCGGAATAACCTACCTTTTTAGGGTTCCCCATTATGATTTCCTTATATAAGTCCTTAAAAAGGTAGGTTCTTCCGGCTTAAGGTAAGCTTATTATAATTTTAAATGAGCCATGATTCCCCGAAGCCCTGTTACATTCCTCTTAACAGACACCGGCAAGTCGTGTCAACACGATGTTAAGCCTCATATGAGCACCTTAACATCTCTACAGTTTGGGGTGAAGGATGCGTTCGTTCGGGCATTGGGTTCGGATTCCGAATTTTCTACTACTATACAACCCGCTAATCCCCACTCGAATTAAGATTCCCGTCGAAAGTCCAAAGGAGAATTGGAGGCCTGCTTCGTCATTCCCGGCGTGTCCCAACTAGCCCCGGAGCCCCAAACCTAAACCCCAACATTTGATTTAGGTTTTAGGGGTCCGGCCTAAACCCTAAACCCTTAAGGGAGCCCTCAAATAATGATCTCTTAAAGGACCCCTAAACTGATCCCTTAAAAGGAGCCCTATAAGCCCTAAACCCTTAAAGGCGCTCGAAAGACTCATCCCTTAAAGGAACCCTAAGCTGATCCCTTAAAGGAGCCGTAAGCTGATCCCCTAAACGAAACCTGGAACCCTAACCTAAACCCTAATCCCTTAAAGGAGCCCATAGGAGCCCTAAAACCAAGCCTAAACCCTATAAACAAAAAGGAGCCCTAAACTAATGATCCCTTGAAGGAACCCTACACCTTTAACCCTTAAAGGAGCCCTAAACCTTAAACCCTTAAAGGGAGCCCTAATCTGATCCCTTAAAGGAACCCTAAACCTTAAATCCTTAGAGGAACCCTAAACCTTAAACCCCTAAAGGAGCCCTAAGCCCCCTAAACCTGTAAAGGAGCCTTAAACTAATGATCCCTTAAAGGAGCCCTCTATAAACCCCCTGAACCCTTACAGGAACCCTAAGCCTTAAACCCTTAAAGGAGCCCTCAACTGCTCCCAGGAGCCGATGAGGTCCTCCAGTCTCTGGGAGACTTGCGGGCGTACCTGGAGCTTCAGTTTGGGCAGCAGGCAGGGTTTGGGTTTTGGGTTTTGGTTTTTGGGTTCAGGGCTTAGTCAGGTTTTAGGGTTTAGGGTTTAGGTTTTTTGGGGTTCAGGGTTTAGTAAGGTTTTGCAGGCACCGGGAGGAGTTTGTGGGTTTCAGGGTTTGGGTTTAGGGTTTAGGTTTTAGGGTTTAGGGTATAGGGCTTCAGGGCTTGATAGAAGAGTGGGAACGGATGATCATCATCAACACGTGTGTGTAAATAGGAGCACGACAAGAACACTGGTATCCACTTATCTTCCTTCCTGTAGCAGCACGTCATTTTTACGCCGAAGCCCTGTTCCACTCATTAAGGGATGTACCCTAAACCCTAAACCCTAGGCATGTTTCGGACCATGCTTCCGGATGGGAACAACGATCAACACAATGAGCTTCGATGGGCAGAAAGATTTACTGTCTTCGTTTCGTCTTAGGGTTCAGGGTTTAGGGGCCTAGGGGTTTTGGGGTTTGGGGTTTCTGGTTTAGGGTTTCGGGAGATTTACATACAGGAGCCTCGAGTGTGAGTGATTTTGTTATATGCCCAAGTCTGCTTGCATGGTGGCACCTCAGGCGGAACTGGCTGGGCTGTCAGCTTAGCTGAGGGGGTCACTCTTCAACACATCTTCGGCGGGAAGGGAGGTGTTATGTGCATCTCTCACTGTCCACAGCGTACTGGTTCTTGTCTCCTCTGCGGAGGGGAAACTCCAGATGGCCGTGATCGTACGGATCAGCTTCCAAATTCAACCCGGCTTCAGTCAGACTGTGACGGTGGCACCTTTTCCTGCTGCTCCAGCTGAGATCGCTGGTCCAGCAGTGTACGTAGCTCCCTTCTGAGCCAACGGGTCTCCATCGCCCTGATCAACCCAAGTGACGTTCAGGTCACTGAGGGTCTGGCCACGGTGGAGTACAGGTCGTGCGCCGGTGACGGTGGCGCACCCGCCATCCTTGTGACTGAGGAGAACGGGACCAGCAAGAAGAAAAGGGCTCTGGGCTTCACTGGGGCGTCAGTGGCAAGCAGAGGATCTGGTTCCCTGTCAGTCCAAGTCTGAGAACTAATATGGGAGTTTCCGAAAATTCGGGGTACCGTATTTTTGGGGGTCCTTATAACAAAGATCCTACTATTTAGGGTACTATTATGGGTCCCCTATTTTCGGAAACTCCCATATAGGGGGCTTCAATAATTACTGTATTTGAGGCTCCTTATCGCATTAAAAGTATGATAGGCCCGAAAGCCCTAGGCATCTAAGGACTCATATATTAAGGCTTTTGGGCCCAAAGACCATCTTATATAAGGCTTTTGGCTATTTTGATGCCCAGGGTAAAGCCCTAAGCCAGAATCGTAAACTCGACTTAGAGGCCCAGGGGACTTAGCAAGTAGGTCCAAGGTAGTGTTAAACGTACCCTAAATGGAACTGCCCCATTATTAGGGTTTAGGGTTTAGGGTTTAGGGTACCTAAATGATTAGAAGCCGATTTATATCACCGACTTACTAATTCCGCTGCAAGCTCCGCAGCCGTGTACCCCTCTATACACCTTAAGCCTCAAACACGCCCATAAGGAAACTCTCGAGACCCAAGGCCTTACAGTTTCAACCACTCCTGCACCCTAAACCCGTGAATCCTAAACACAAGGCCCAAACAAGCTCATGCCCCTAAACCCTCATAGACCCCCCGCCTCCAAAGGGTCCTAAGTACTGTCATGGGCTATGCTTCCTCACATTATCACAGTCATCCCTAAAATCGAAACCCTACATTCCACCATACGGGTACTTAGGTCCCTTTGGGCATGGACCCCTTGAACCCAAAGCCCCAAACCCCCAAACCTCTATCGATTTTCCATGGAACCCCCTTCAAAGGAACCTGAAAGCAAACGAAACCTGAGCCCCAGAGCACCTCCAGGCCATTCTTCTTCAGGAGCTGCGCTCTGAAACGACCTTCTCCATGAGTTTAGTAGACGTTTTAGGGTTCCAGTTTGAGGTTCTTTTATATGGGCTGGGTTCACGGATTAAGGTTTGGGGGTTTAGGATTTTGGGTTCACGGACTTGGGGTTTAGGGGTTCAAGTGCAGGGACCTTCTCTCTGAGTTTACGAATATCGGGGCTCCTTTACAGGGTTTCTACAGGTTTTAGGCTTACTTTAGGGGATTTAAGGGGTATAAAGAGGTTTCATGTAGGGACTTCAATAATGTGCCAAGGGATACTCAAAGGATCATGTGATTTAGTAACTAGGGTGACAAATGGTAACCATACCTGTCATTGCTTATATCACCAATCATTTTACTTGTAATTAGTAAGTACCCTGATCCTCCAAGTAGGCATCCTTTGACGGGTGTCTACACGGCTTACGGTTATTATAAGGGGTACTATGAGGGTCTATTGTGCAGCGTTAAGAACCCCCTTGAGTTTACTAGAGGATTTATCTTTCATTGCGAGCCTTAAGGTTATCACACCAAGGATTAGGGTCTAGGGCGTTTCGGGTTGAGGGAGTGAGGGAGGGTGCTGAAGGACTCATCTTTGGAGGTATTCTTTCCCGGTGGATTCAAGGCGGCAGTACTTGCATTCAAGCATACTGGTCAGTCTATTTTCCTGGCATTTACATAAAACCGTAACTAAGCCTAAACCCCATTGATAGGTACTTTGGACACCTTTTTTGAATCCTCCGAAGACCCTTCGGGACTGTGCTTCACATCTGAGGAAGGGCCGGCCTACCCTCAAGCGCGGCGAATCTGTGGTCAGTGAGGTGGCCTCCTTCCCCTGGGTTGAGGGTTTAGGGTTTAGGGTGCTAAGTGCCATACAGTAAGAATAGGATTTTTGCAATCGAACTTGTCATTTTGGTTTGGGTAAATATTCCCCATGTAGTTAAAGTCTACTAAAACCGCTAAACCTTACACATCTTCATAGAACCCTACGCACCATAAACAAACCCCTATATACCTTAAACTCTGAACATCCAGACGTTTAGGATCTACTGCTGCTTGCAGGAGGGTGCGGGGGGGGGGGCTTAGTCAGCAGTTGTTATTACTCCAAGAGGGACCCTAGTTGGTGTTATGGCACTTAAAACTGTATGAAATGGGCACCTATATACAAAGTCCTCCGACCCTCCCGGTCGAGACTGCAATGTGGAAACCTTGTCAACCCCGACCCCCACGCCGCCACAAGAAGCACAAAACGCAACCACGAGTAAGGTAGTCATAACTGAGAATGGCCAGGACGCAAAAAAGGACTCATAACACTATGTCCTCTAGATGTGAGCCTTTCCTATTGCTGGTTAAAGAACCATGGTTAACAAATTTCCATTTCACAGAATGTTAGGCTAGACCCTGAATGAATTTATTCCCTGATAAGATTTGAGCATGGGTCCTGCACGAAGGTTCGATGAAAACCCCCAAACCCTAAACCCCTAAACCCGAAACCCCTAAACCCTAAACCCCTATACCCTAAACCCCGTTAACCCTAAACCCCTAAACCCTAAACCCCTAAACCCTAAACTCCTAAACCCTAAACCCCTAAACCCTAAGCCTTAATGCATGTTCCTTAGATTTCCTGCTTTGAGGTTTCAGGGCTTCCAATCACTCTAAGGCTCCAAGTGGGTGGTTGTCAAAATTAGGGTTCCTTTTGGGGTCCCTATTATAATCAATCCGGCACCTACTATTTAGGGTACCCAAAGAGGGGCCATAATTTTGACAACTACCCAAGTAGGCAAGTGAAACTTGGAGAGAGATTCGCCCATATTCCATGAACGGTGCCAAGTAAAGACCAAACCACTCTTCCAGCGCCCAGATGACCACCCACGATGGACCCCGGCCCCATGGCAGCATTGCTTTTCGCTAGGAAACATAGGGTTTGAGGTTGGCTTTTGAATGGCGCATGCTTTGTTTGTTTAGGGTGTAGGGGTTCGAAGGTTTAGGGCCTTCATGGTTTGGGTGAGGACCTTGTATTGCGTAGTGTTCAAGTCAAGAGTTTAGTGAGTTTGTTTCTGTTTAATAGCGCTGGACTGGGGTCAACGTTCTCAGTGATTCTGTTGATGGACGAAATCTTGCATGACCCTAAGGACTCTAAACTATGGGAATTATGGTATCTTCCTTATAATGGGTAATGCAGGATTGTGTCCATCAACAGTTCGAGTGACAAACTTCGAATACGTTGAAGAAGTAACAATGCCTACATTCGAGTCTCCGGAACAGCTCGTGCCTGGGGCTGGAAATTCCAGGCTTCGGCTTTGGCATCTGAAGGCCTGCCAAGGCTTTCCGGATCGCGACTTTGGATGTAGGCCCTGTTCACGCCATAACCTAGACTACTCTTCCCCCACATCGAATCTGACACCTGACAACCCCGGAAAAATCCCTCCCTCAAACCCTAAGCTTGTGTATGCACTTTGTAAAAGAAGATTGAATAACTAGGGGTTAGGGTAATACTAGTCCATATAACGCTGTAATGACTGTAAGGCTGATACTAAAAAGACTCCTACTCTAATCACTAAGGCCCCTACCTTTGAGCAGTTGGGTTCCCATAATTTCCGAAGAGTTCAAGCAGTGTAAACCCTGAGCCCCGAAACCCTAAATACCCTACATCCCAAGACCCCGCCCTCAGGCTTCGGGAAGCCTGGAATCGCACAACATTAATTTCCTTGCCAAGACCTTCCAAAACCACTTAATGAACGATTCCATTAAGGGGTTCCTTCAAGGGATCCTTCAAGCGATCTATAGGGTTTAGGGTAAGAAAAGGAATATATATATATATATATATATATATATATACTTCAAAGCAGATAAGGGATCCTACTACAATCTAGGTCTTTTCCTTAACCAAGGGATTTTGGAAGGTCTGGGTAGTTGAGGGTTAATTACTATCTATCCAGAACGGGCAGGTGCTGTAAAGGTAGTTTTACCTTGGAACAACCCTCGGGTGAAGCCCCAAACCTCACGGCCCATGGCCCTCGATCCTAAACCCCATACATCCTTATTATAGATATATAAACCCTAAGCCCCAATGCAGAGACCCCAAACCCGGAGAGCCCAATACCCCTTAATGAAGGAATATGGATTTATATTTATATATATATATGTATATATGTATATGGGGCTTCATATTATGATTTAAGCCGTTTAAGCTATATTCTTTGATTAAGGGGTATTGGGCTCTCTGGGAACCCGGAGCCTTCAAGCCTGACCACAAGGAAGGCTCGAATGGAGTTGGCGCGTTCCCACTCCTCCCTGAATCTGGAGATCCCCGCACAGGCGGCGGCGGGTGTAGGGCCTTTCGGGATTTATGGTGTTTAGGGTTCAGGGTGTAGGGCTTAAGGGTTTCGGGCTCAAGGCTCGTAGGATTTGGGTTTTGGGCGTAATAGGGTTTATAAAGGGTGTTGCGTTTGCTATGAACGGCTCTCACAGATTCGGGCTCTATACCTATCCTAAACCTTAAACCCTAAACCCCTACATAAGCCCTACACCGACTATACCCTGAACAGGGTATTCTCGAGGGTAGTCTTGTATCTGCGTAGAAGGCCTCGCTCCTTGGTTCTAATATGATCCTGCCATGATTAATATAAGGGTCTGAGTAATTAGAATAGGGTATCGGGCCCACTATACTATAATTACAGCAAGGACCCCTCAAAAAAATATTGATAATTATTGAGGCTATACTATTAAACGCTTAGCTACTTTTTGGCAGGGGTCAGTATAGCTCCAAGCACGTTTTGACGACCGGTTTTCAGCACCTGTAAGCATCCATGTATACGTGTACCGGATTTACTTTCGCCTTGAAGGGGTTGCTGTTACAGGTACACTTTAAATCGGCGGAAAGCAGGGGGAAAGGGTTTGGGGTACAGGATTCCGGTGTTTAGCTGTGGGGTTATTCAAGGGGGCCTGGAATGGAGTATAAGGCTGTAAAATAGGGCCTTGATACAATTATAGGATAATCTAACCCCCTCACAAAAACAAATCTTCTAAATATATCCTTTTATTTTGCCTGTTGTAGCCGTTTGCGACCTCTTTAAAGGAACCCTATTCTAGTTACTAAGGCCCCTTTCGCATGTCCGGCCAACCCTGCCTGCCCTCACTCGTCAGATTCTCCGTGCCGGCTCTCCGAGAACCTTCGTTGGTTCATGGCCCAGTTGCTAGGTAGTAGTAAGTAGGTTATAAGTAGAGTTATAGGTACTTTAACTGGAGTTACCCCCCAATTACAACCCTGCATATAACCGACTACTACTGTCCCCTGGGCCTCCAAGTAGGATTCTTGGTAGCTGCAGCGACAGGGTAACCAGAAACCCTGCAAGTTCCTCAAAGGAACCCCAGCCAGGCGGAGCACCCAGAGTTGGCAGCCAAAAAGGCAGCGGATGGCAGCCCACGTGAGGCGCAGGCTGGCAACCAAATGAGGCTAAAGGTTATGATAGGGGTTGCAGCAAGGGTTTGGCCTTTGGGATATCTTTGGGCTTCACATTTAGGGTATGGCGTTTGTACTCATATCTCGAAAGCGACTCAGCCCCTGGCTAAGAACCTTTCCTGGAACCGTCTTGGCTTCGGCAGGAGGACATACATATCTATGTTTGTTTACAGAAATGTTGATATTCATCTATTTATTCACTTAGTTCTTGATGGAGGCACAGCAGGTTTGGGCTATGGGATTTTATTCCATCTTGCGCATGTCAGACTTACAGGAGCACAGAGAGTCCCGGTCTGTAGTTACAAGGATAGAGTGCAAGTGTGAGATCAATTGCTGTGCCAATTAGCACTCTAGTGACGGCGGTTACGACCTCCTTTGCAGATTTCCTGTCTTTGGCTGCACCCCTTGGATCTAACCAAACGTGCCTGCCTAAAGCCTGCTTATGGGACTCGGTCAGCATCTGTTGAGGAGAAATGTAATTAATCTGGAAGCCGCAATGAGGGAAAACAGTAGCCTTGTAACCCTAAGGGTCCAAGTGTCTACTCCCAGTTATGGCACTGTGGGTCCTTTTCGGGCACCGAAAACCATAAACAAGGATTACTTGGGTAAGAAAGGGAGGATGTTGTGGAACTACAGGACCCTACTTCCTAAACCGATTCTGCAGGTACTTAAGTATAAAGGACTACTCGGACCCTTAGGGTACCTAAACCCTAAACCCCTGAACCCTCGCTTTTAACTATGCCCCCGTGATCCTCCAAGTGTGTTCCCAAGCCTCAGCTACGCTATTATAGGGATTTAGTATAGGGGCCTTAATAATTAGAATAGGGTTTCGGGGCCCATTATACTACAAATATAGTAAAGGAATCGCCCCAATAGCATTGGTAATCTAAACTCCAAATCGTCAACACTACGGCCCTGAATCGCGAGGCCCTAAAGCTTAAGTGTCACACCCTCGAAGCCTAAAACTTCAAGTCTGAGCCGTATACAGACGCTCTGCACTCTATGCCAGTACCCTAAGGGTCCAAAGGACCCAATACTTAGGTACTTAGGTTTCGGATAGTAGTTCTGTAGGTTACTATCTTGGGGAGGATATGATACTTAGGCACTTGGACCCTTAGGGGTAGCTCTGAACCCCAATCCACACCCATCCTGCTGGTTTATTGCTTAACCGAGACTGTGACCCTACTGCTGATGGACAAAATCCTGCATGACCCTTAGGACTCTAAACTATGGGAATTATGGCATATTCCTTATAACGGGTAACGCAGGATTTTGTCCATCAACAGTATGAACGAATTTTTACGTGTTTTTCAGGTGGCTCGGGGCGCTATGTCACCGGTTCAGCGAAGCTTATCTCCCGCGGAGCTTCTGCAGATCAGTTCAGAACCTATATAGGGGGTTGCGAAAATAGGGGACCCGAACCTTATTTTGGGTCCTCATAATAAGGATCCTACTATTTAGGATACTATATTAGGGTCCCCTGTTTTCGGAAGCTCCCATCTATTAAACACGACAGCTCCCTGACGATTGGGTTGAGGGTTTAGAGTTCAGTGCTGTTTGTCTTGTGTTTCGGGCATGTGTTTTTTCCCACACCCTACCGCTAGACCCTGCACCCCTCCATTCTCCAGGCCCTCTACTGTGGCGAAAACCTCACGCACAAACCCTAAATGCTAAACCTACACCCAAAACCCTGAACAGTAAATTGCTAAACTTCTAAACGCCAGAACCCTAAACCTAAATCCCCAACCACGTATGCGTGTCATTCCTTCATGCCCATTTGTCGATGGTAGCGCTTATTCTCGTACCGCTATATAGAACAACTTCATCACCGTTTAACCCTTCTTTCGTGTAGGTTATATAGGGTTTAGGCAAAAACGATACCTAGAGGCCAAGTACCCAAAAAGTAAGGCCTCGGGTCTCAGCTCAAAATCCTTTGAATGGTCTTTGGCACGTGGAAATCATTTTGGTCTGGGGGCGGCATTTGGACCCTGAGGGTATGTAACCTTATCACAGGCCGCCTATGGTACCTTTATTGCCTTCGAGCTGACATGGAGAGTCCATCCGCATGCAATTTTCAAAGTCGGAATACGCTTCCCTGGGTCTCAGTGGGCCTTTATTCCCTTGTGTGGTTCTCGGTTCCGTGAGCGTAAACGACTACCTACCATTCCAGCCGGCATAGAACGGTAAGAAGAACTCTAATCCACTGACGCCCTACCCACATAAGGCATGTGGGGCCCGGAAATCTTCCTACACCCGAAGCCCCCGGCCCTAAACCTTCTATGTACAGGCCTCCTTTTCGAATCCGTGCAACACCCAAACCGTTAATATTCAGACCATCAGAACTTTGAATACTTGTCAATCGGGCTCCTTTTGCAAACATGGGGCCCTTCTCTGTACATCAAACCTCCATTCATCGAATCTCTCGAGGAGCTCATGGCGACAGAGAGTCCAGGTGCTGCCGGCTCCTACACGTCCGCCTCCTTCACCAAGGCTCTTGCTAGGAGTTCAGGTAGGCTTTAGGGGTTGAGAGGTTTAGTGGGTGAGGGTGTAGGGGTTTAGGGGTTTAGGGTTCAGGGTTTAGGGTGTTTAGCTTCACAGCTTGGGGTTAAGGACCTCAGCAGTAGTGTTTCGGGTTTTGGTTCAGGGTGTAGTGTTGCCGAGGTCATAAGAAGAGAAATGTAGGCCCGGCCATACGAGTGCAGGGTCTACAGGGCTTCTTTCCCATGCAATTTGTAGAAGGGATTGCGAGTTTAGTACATCTACATAATACTGTTGATGGTCAAAATCCTGCATTACCCATTATAAGGAAGATACCATCATTCCCATGGTTTAGAGTCCTTAGGGTCATGCAGGGTTTTGTCCATCAGCAGTACCACTTTTTCTGTGGGAGGGGAGTGGGGTTCGGGAGCTAGTGTCTGCAGAGTGATAAATCAACATGGTGGAATCCCAAGCAGCAACACTACCCAGAGGCCCCATAGTAGTTCCTTTTTGGGGATTACCCTATAATATTCTTTACATGAACCCCCAAAAGGAACTACTTTGGGGCCTTAGGTCAATTTGTGTCTGGGTTTTGTATTCGGTTAGCGGGTAGACCTTTTTTATATGTAAGGCTGCTTTGGAGTGTTGGTGAGCATATGCAGCTGTCTAAAGCTCCCGTCCCCGAAACAGCCAGCATACAGTGGCCCTTATCTGTCTAATTATACTCTCAACCCTAACCCCAACCCCGAAAAGTATTGGAGCCGAAGGAAGGGCATAGCAATGCTCTTGAACTTTACCGTGGACCCCCTTCCCTTCTCCTCCAATAGCGAGTGTAGTGGGAAGTGTGTGTTCTCGATCAGACTCCCAGACCTCCGAACCCGATAACCTGAACTTACTGCTGATGGACAAAATCCTTCATGACCCTGAGGACTCTAAACTATGGGAACTATGGTATATTCCTTATATATAATGGGTAATGCAGGATTTTCAGTACCATATCCCACCAGTGGACCAGAGTTCGAAAAGTGAACCCACGACTTCGGGTTTAGGGTTTCTCGGCTGGGCCGAAAAAAATAGCTCGAAATCCCTGAGACTGCTGCGCCAAGCTCGAACGGCTCATGTGTCGTAGAACAGAAAACGCAGGAAACCGCACAAAGACAGGTCTATGAAACTCTGTTTTCAGGGTATATGACCACAAGGCCCCAATAAGTATATTAGAATTTTCGATTTAAATCCCATTATTTGGGTACTTGGAGCCTTAGGGGAATGCTGCCGTTTCTTGGATCTTAAAAGGTGTGGGAACCACCCTAAACCCCTAAACCCTAAACCTCTAAACCCTAAAACCCCAAACCCTAAACCCCTAAACCCCAAAACCCTAAAGACCCTACCCAAACCCCCTAAAACCCCCAAACCCCTAAAACCCTAAACCCAAAACCCCTAAAACCCAAAACCCAAAACCCTAAGCCGTCCGAGCAGGGCGATGTGGTAGAGCCTCGCATTTCAGCAGACGAGGAGCTGCAACCGAGCGCCTTTAGGAGTTAAGGGTGCCTTAGGCCCATGAGTAGGGTTTCGGGTTTAGTGTTTAGGGTTTGGGGTTTTAGGGGTTTAGGGATTTGGAGGAGTTTAGGAGTTTAGGTTTTGGGTTAGGGTTTAGGGTGTCTTAAGCTTGGGTTTTGGGGCTTAGGAACTTTAGAGGCCAGTTTTAAGCTTTGGTTTTTTGGCTTAGGAACTTTAGAGTCTAGTTTTAAGCTTGGTTTTTGGGCTCCGGAAGTTCGAGTCTATTCAGAGCTATAAGGGCTTACCTACTATAGTCTCCATTGTAGTTCGCTTTTTGGTTTGACCAAATCTTTAATTTAATTATCCATAGGGTAACGGTAGTATTTATAGGGAGTTAAAGGGGGGATGAACAGTTTAGGACTGCAGGGCCTGCCAGGTAATTTGCTGCACGTCACTGTGTCCGTGTGGATGTTATGGTCCCCTTTTGGGTCCCTAATATAGTACGGCACCTATCCTAATTCTGACAACCACCCATGTGTGTGTGTGTGTGTGTCTGTGTGTGTGTGCGTTCGGCTGACTCTCGGCCCCAATGACCTAGACTCTACACCCTGAAATCTAAACCGCGCAGCCAGAAGCCGTAAACTTCGAATATAGAAGCTGGAATAATCTTGCATCTATTCCTCAGGGCTCCTCATTATAGCTCTATTATTATTACTCCGCCATATTTTAAGAACCCAATTCTAACGATTAAGGCCGGTATATCATGCCACTGCAGCCCGAAGCTCTGAAGGTCCTGAGCCCTAAAAGCCTAAGGTCGTAAATGCTCCTCAAGCTCCTACCTTAAGCCGGAATAACCTACCTTTTTGGGGTCCCTTATTATGATTTCCTTATATAAACCCTTAAAAAGGTAGGTTATTCCGGCTTAAGGCAAACCCAAAACCCCTACAACCTAAACCCCTAAACCCTAAACGCTACACCCCCAGCCCTAAACGGCCCTAAACCCGGAAGCTTTTGGGGATTGAGAGGCGAGGGCCGTGGGTTCAGAGTGAGACTCGGCTTTCATGCTTGGAGCCTTTTAAGGAGCCTTTCTCGAGACCCTAATTAAGCTTATATAAGCCCTCGAAAACCATAGCCCCCCAATTCCCTGTAGTTTCGTGACCGACTCCCTGAAGAAGCCCCCTAAAGGAGCCCTCTTAGACCTTACGCCTTACGCCCCTGAACTCAAAGTTGGAATGTCCTAGGCCCAAAACCCAGGCTGCTAACTACTGAAGCCCTAAACTCAAACCTTTCAAGCAGTTCGTCAGCGAACCCCTCTAAAGACACTCAAACTCGGAGTCGTGCTTATGAACCCCTTGTGAGACACGGAAATTCCGAAGCCCCTATACCCCTAAACCCTTTAAACCCTTGACTCCCTAAACCTTAACCCCCTAAACCATATAAGCCAGCTAAACCCAACTTCAGTCGTTGAGCCCACATGGTTCATCGAGAGTCCATTCCGGGCAAAGCGGTTGTATGCTACCCGTATGGCCGGAACCTTTGACCGACTTGGGGCTGCATTGGTCAGGATCAAGGAGCAGCAAAGACTATTGAACCCAAGGAGAGGAGGCACGCTCCCTGGTGCGCACGCACCTGGACTTCAACAAATGGGAGGAAAGCGCTTACACCGAAAGCTTGTTGAAGAGTCGCCGGCACTTGCTACATGCGGTAGCCAAGAACAGAACCAGCTGAAGCCCCTAAACCCCCCAAAGACACCTTACTAAACCCGAAACTCCCCTTTAGTCGAAGCCAAAATCCCTTAAACTAGTAAACGATAGACCCTGACGCCCTAAACCCCGTCTAAACCCTAAGCCCCCCAAAGCCCAGCACCCCCTAAACCTTAAACCCCTCAACCCCAAACACCGAACCCATCAGAACCCTCCAGGTAACCCCTTTACGGAGCCCGTTTCTTAGTAGCTGAGTAGGTAACCTTTAACCTTTTGGGGTCTATACACTCCTAGAAGGTTAACCTTCTTTGGGCTAGTGTCCTTTGCGGGATCTATAGGGGTTCCTTTAAAGGGGCTCCTTTAAGGGATCTGTAGGGGCTGGGGGTACTCAGCCCCCAAGGTTCGAAACGGCAAGTACACCGCCCCCCGGAAACAGGAGCCGAAGACGCCTGGGTTTCGAGCCACGCTGCCTGGCCAGAGTTACGTTTTAAGGGTGCAGGGTTTATGGTTTACGGTCCAAGGTTTAGGGTTTAGCTCGGCTTAAGGGTTTTGGGTTTGTCAGGGTTTAGGGTTTGGGCTTTAGTTAGGGTGCAGGGTTTAGGGTTCTTGGAAAGGTTCCTTGCAGACTCCTTAGGGCCCAAATTCTCGAACATCCAAAGCCCTGATTCAGCTGAAAGCCCAAACCCTAAAGATCCCCGGTATCCGAGCACGAAGAATCGGTCTCAGTTTTATCATTTAAATTGAGCCCCAGGCATGCGATATTGAATGGGAGTTGTGTGGGGGTTCGAGTTTTCCCAGCAGGTTGGAGGCCCTATCCATCATGTGCCTTTCAAGTGCAACCAGGTGCCACACCCTACTGTAGCCTAAACCCTAAATAACCTTAAGCCGTGAAGCCCTCAAGCCCTAAATCTCCGAAGGCCCTTGAGCTGCGAAGCCCCATCTTTAGACCTTTTGAAATGCCTAGCGCTGGACCTGTAAAGCCCTTGGCTCTAAAGCCCTTATAGATCCTGCACAGAGCCATCAGAGGAAGAATCACCTACCCAAAGGCTCCATGTACCCATATAGTAGGTACTCAGCCCTCAAAGTAGCTATATACGGACCCCTTTAAGGCCTAAGTACCTACTATATGGGCACAGGGGAGTCTTGGGGCTAAGCGCTCTCGTAAGGGATCTACAGGGTTCTGTTATGGGATCTGTAGGAGTTTGGGGTTTAGGATGGTTCTGGGCTTACCCGGACCCTAACCCTAAGGCTCTAAGGACTCACATTTTAAGGCTTTCGGGCCCAAAGACCATATTATATAAGGCTTTTGGGCCATTTTGAGCCTTAGGGTAAAGGACCTGTCGTTCTTTAGTCATAATCAGGAGGAGCCCTAGAACGGTAGGCTTGTTCAAAGTTTAGGTAGGGCTTAGAGTTACAAGGGGGCTTTAGGCGTTTTTGTAAGGGTTTAGGGCATGTTGGGGTCTAGGGTGTCGGGCAGGGAACCCTAAACCCGAAACTCCTATAGATTCCTCCACGAACCCCCCTAAATCCCTTAAAGGAGCCCGCATCCCTAAGCCCCGGTGCTTTTGTCGGCCCATCCGAAGGATTCTGCAGCGGCATCTTCAGTCCAAGGAGGAGCTGGAGGCTCCACTCTTGTAACTAATGAGTACCTGCAACCCCAAATCCGACAAAATAGTAGGTTATGACCCTCTAATTACCATATGAGGTTTAGGAGTTAGGATTAAGGGTTTCGGTTTGGTCGGTTTGGGGTTTAGGAAGCCCCAGAAGGCAGGGGTCCCTGCGGGGCTTATCGTGTCTATTGCGGTCTTCTTCTCAGGTATATAGAGCGAGAGTCAACCTTTAGAAGTTTCAGCTGGTGCCTACGTACTTTCAGGGTGTAGGGTTTAGGGTTTCTATGCCCGACTATGTCCATTTCGATTATCTGATCTTCCTGGTTAGTATTGCTGCAATGACGACCATTGCCCTCATGACTCATGAGGATGATCATCCAGGTCATCGCCCTCAGCACCATCATGACATGATTTCATCACCACAGTTATCCGTCGTCTCTGCCGTCTTCGTCACCTGAGTATTCACAATTTTCATCATGACCATGATGATGATCATCATCACCATCGCCATCACCACTATCATCATGGCCATGATGATGCTGCTGGTGACAGTTAACATCACCAGCACAATCACCACGATGATCATGGTCATGATAATGAGGTCACCTTCATTGCTGCCCTACCTCCTCATCGTGAACACCTTTTCTTCACCATCGTCATCATCGGTGTCATCACTGCGATCATGTGCGTTGACGCTTGGAGCAGCTCAGGGATTATTGGGACGTCGAGAGGTTGGTAGACCGTACAAACCGGGCGATGATCTTGAGCGGCGGGAGGTCTGCTGGCAAAGTAGGAAGCCCTAAACCCTAAACCCCTAAACCCTTAACCCCTAAACCGTGAACCCCTAAACCCTAAACCCTAGAAGGTATTGCAGTGGGAATCGGGTCTGTGCTCCGACAGACGTCCTGAGGCCACAACATGCACCCTCGACTTTAAACTCCCTAACCTGGTGAACAAGTTAGCCGCCCTGTAGGGTTTAGGGTTTAGTGGTTTAGAGTTGAGGGGTTTAGGGTTTTTGCTAATCTGGTGAACAAATTAACTGCCCTGAACCCTAAACCCTGACCCCAAACCCTGGGCCCTGCCCTGAATTGTCGATTTGGGATGATATCTTTGCTTTCCCTTAGTTTAATCTAGAGCCCTAGTCGGCACCTCGTAAACTCCCTCAACCCTAAACCCCAACCCCCCCCCAAGAACAAACCTGAAACCCAAAGCCTGAGCCCTTCAACTGCTCCTTAATGTTATTGGTTATTTAGGGTTTAGGGTTTAGGGTTATTAATTAGGGTTTAGGGTTTAGGGTTTAGGGTTTAGGGAGGGTCGTTGGGGGCTCTAGGCACACCCTGAACCCTACACCCTAAACCCTGAACCCTAACCTGTTAGACAGGAAAAGCGCTTTGGTTCCCGCTCATCGCGGATCTTTGAAGCCTCCAGCGGCTCGGAGTGTCCAAGGGTAAAAGGAGGGACCCTTAATAAGGACCCCTAGGTATTTAAGGGATCAAAAAGGGTTCTATCAAGGGTTTAGGGTTTAGGATTCCCTGGACCCCTAGGCATATACCCTTAATATAGCGACTATATATAGGGTAGGGGTCCCTATTAATTTACCCTTTGAGAGTGAGCTAGCCTAGGAGCCTTCAAGCCATGTGGGTGGTTGTCAAAATTGGGGTCCTTTTTTGGGTGCCATAAATATTAGGTGCCGTATTATAATCGATACCCAGAAAGGGACCCTAATTTTGACAACCACCCATGTCTCTGGGGTTAGGGCCTTGGGGTTGAGGTTCAGGGGTTGGGGTCTAGGGTTCAGGGTCAAGGGTTTAGGGTTCAGGGTTTTAGGGTAAGGGTTTAGAGTTTAGGGTCCGGGGTGAGGGCTTCAGGCTTATGAGAGCGTAGGGTTTAAGGGTTTACGATTAAGGCTTAGGGTTTAAGGTTTTAGGGGTAAGCAGCTGTCACCAGCATTGCCCCTAAACCAAGTGCCTCAAACCGTAGCATTGAACGATAACCTTAAACCCCTAAAACCCTAAACCATTACATCCTCCCTAGGCCCGTCGGAGTTTCCAAGTCCGGCGTCCGGTGCTTCGGGTTTACACATCCCAAGCCACATGAAACGAGATGGGAAAGTGAAAGCACAAATTGCTTTTGCCAAGAGTCTTCGGAGTAATTTCCGAGGAAATTCCTCATGCGTAGAGTTATGATGTCCCGGTCCTGTTCACGCTATTATCCCGGCAAATAACAAATTGGTAATGGGATTCTTTTGAGATTGCAGATGGAATCGAGGCACTCAGGCAATCAAACACGCAATGGACGAAAACAGTGGAACAAAAACAACGGCATTGGAATCCCGTGGCATTCTGACTTCAAAGTCTTTCCGATTTGGTTGGAATGTGCGCTTGGCATTTGATTTGTTGCTCCATTGTTGTCCCATAGCCCCCGTGCTGCCCCCATCCATCCCCTTTTTTCAATGTTTGCTTCCATGTCGCTTTTGTCATTGTTGGTTCCATGCATAGTTTACATTATTTTATAGTTTTTCGATTTCGGAAATGTGCTTCAGGGAATATGTGTTTTTACCAGTTCTGCCGCAAAACACCCTCCTGAAGTTCCGGCAAAACCGTAGACTCTAAACCGTCCAAAAAATGCCTCAAGATTCCGATAAATCCAATCAAAAACCATTTCCAAGTAAGCGACTAGGATTGTTCATAATTTTTCCTTTATCGGATTCAACAGGATGTTTGTCGTCAAAAAAAGTTGCAGAGGGCGTCAAGAGCCAGCCTGGTTTCTGCTTTGCAACAAATTACGGGCTTCCCTCAACCAAACCCTAACCCACAAAGGCCGTAAGTCCTGAAGCCTAAAGGCCTTAAGCCGTAAACCCAATTTACCACCAAGATTTCTTTCAGGAGGGTTCTCCCGAAAGTATATTCAGAGTTTAAGGTCTGGGGCCTGGGGTACACGGTTCCTTCGCAACCCTACCTAAAGTCTCCATTGTGGCTTCTTTTTTTGGCTAACCCAACTTGTTTTACAGGACCTTAGGCGTGGGAGCTTGCTAGCCAGAAAGCGCAATGGAGACCATAGGTAAGGCTCCAAGTTTCCCCTCAACCTTGAACCCTAACCTCTAAACCCCAAACCCTGCCAAAACCCCAAGCCTTGAGTAGTATCCCTATCGAAGTAGAGTTATAAGCAGCCTAAATGGAGTTACCCCAATTGCAACCATACTTATAACCGACTTACCCCTGCCTATGGCAGTTTCCGAAAATAGGGGGGACCCTAATATAGCACCCTAAATAGTAGGATCCTTATTGCCAGGGCCCCAAATTTTCGAAAGCCCCATATAAACCCTTCCCCAAAAAGGAACGCCCGAGACCCAAGGCCCCACAGCTTCAACCCATGGTCCATGTGCCCAAACGCCCTAGAGCACCAGTCGTTTCAGGGGCCTTGGGGCAGGGGTTTAGTGTCGTTAGGGGTTGAGGGGTTTTAGGGGGTTTGGGGGTTTGAGCGGTTTCGGGCTCAGGGTTTGTCGGTTTGGGGTTTCGGGGTTTAGGGTTACCCTAAGGGTCCATGTACCCAAATAGTATATGCTTTGGCCCAAAGTACCTATATAGGGACTACATTATAAGGACAAAGTATGTACTATTTGGGTACATGGACCCGTAGATTTAGGGTGTTAGGCATAAAGGAGAGCGGAGCTCCTCAGGTCAAAGTACGAGGAGGTTGCGGAACCTTACGAAGCGAGTCGTGGAAGCGGACGCTTTCCATGTGACCCGTCCCTGACATTAGTAGCCCACTGCATTACTATTAGTTATGACAACAGTAGTAATAATACTGAATAATATTAGAAATAAGAAGAAGATGATGATTAACAGTGGTAGGAAATAGTTCTAGTACGACTTCCAACATAAATAGCAGTAATGGCTAACAATAGCAGTTAGAATAAGCTTTGACGTGGCTGGGTAGGTAACCGCTACCTGCAACCTCAAAGACCTTCCCTTTTGTAGGTCGTTCAGAATATCCTAGTTATACTTATAAGATCCTGGTTTTCGACGAAAGGTCCGTAAATTCCGAAAGACCTGTGTTTCCAGGATCGTAGATTGATTGGGGTCATTTGAAGGTGGTTTGCAGCTTTGTGCATGTGGTGGAAGGATGCAAACCCAAAAGATCTGGGCTCATTAGAGCCATGTAGAGGGGGCTCGGAAGCACGGCAGGTGGCCCGGCACTTGGAGTGAAGTTTAGCACAACCATGATGGTGCATTGAAGCTGTGTGTGAGTGCAGATTGCGATCAGATCAGAAGTGACAGCGTGTCGCTTTCGCTTTTGGGGCCCGAGTGTTTTTGAGAAGTGTGTTTTCTCAAGGTTGCTTGAGGAAGCCGTTCAAGGCTCGCCATGAGGTCGTTGCGTGGTCTTGCAGAGTCGTGGGAGTCGACTAACTCCATCCGCTTGCGTGTGCGGGGCAACACCGCCTCGATCTTCCGCACCGTCCGGGGTGCACCACTTCCACATGCCAACGTAAAGCAATGCGGCTTGTTCCATGATGTGATGACGCCGTTGGTAAAGATCGTTGCCGGTTGGTGGAGAAGGGCTCCAAAGAAGCGACCACTCTTCTCGATTTCCCAAGCAGAGTGTGAGCATCCAGCATGCAATGGAGATTTCGAGTGCTGTTTGCAACCGTTGCATGTGTGCATGACTGTTGGTAGACCAGTAGTGTACGCATGTGTTCATGCTCCAAGGCTCGCAAAGTTCTACCGCCTTTGCAGGGTTACAGGGGACATGAAGAATATCAAGGCGGAGGCTTGGCTTTGCAAGAAGTATATAGTCCTCCTCAAGCGGAAGAAGCAGCGAGATCAAGTGCCCCGCTGCCCCAAATTCCGGGCTCTCCTTGCACTGCTTCCCAATTCCGACTCTTGGCTTGGTGTGCTGCTAATTTGATTGAGTTCTCAATGCACCATATACAGTTTCGAGGGCTATATAGATGATATGATGGATCCCTGTCGTGAAAGGCTGGCCAGATTGAATCTGGCGGAGAAGATGGCGGTGACAGCGATCATGACGATGATGATGTTGACCCCGCCGGTGGGGAAGGTGGCGCAGAGGGTTTATCGGGCATCACAATTTCATGCATGTCTTGTGTGCCTTGTTTGCTCCTGGACGGTATATGATGGCCTTGACAGGCTCAGTGGATGAAGTTTCGTCCTTGCGAGACAGTGATGCTGAGCTGCTGAGCAGCGAGGACGAAGACTACAGGGCCCTGGGCGAGATGGTTTTCGATGATGATGATGATGCCAGAGCAGATGTTAGTGCAGAGGATGGTTCAATTGCTGCGCCATCTCAGGCTTCAAAGCCGTCTCGGGCTTCAATTCCGTCTCGGGCTTCAGAGCCGTCTCAGGCTTCAGAACCGTCTCGGGCTTCAGAGCCGTCTCAGCCTTCAGAGCCGTCTCAGCCTTCAGAGCCGTTGGGAGACTCAGATCCCAAGCCGAAGCTCAGGCGTGCAGGTCCTCCCCGGAAAGCGCACGAGTTCCATGGTTCAGTTTTCGATGTGGATGCCTGGGATGAACCAACCTGCCCAAAATGTGATCGGAAGGAATCAGGATGCAAGTGCAAGCTCGTGCTGCAGCTTCAGCAGAGAATCAGTGCAATGAAAAGCTATCAGGAAGCTAGGGTGAGGACACGGGGTTTTAAACACATCTGCATATACAACATGCATGTACCCATGTATATACACTATACATATGTGTGTGTGCACGCTTGAAGTAGTTTTGCTGTAGGGCGAGCAATCGCTGGAATAGTATGTGCGGCATTATAGAGACACGATAGTAGTATAAAGAGGCTGTTTTGATTCAATAAATCCGATAGTATAACGCTAGAGATGTTTGCAGGAGCAAGGCCATGAAGAACAGCAAGCCCCTGATCGTGACCCCGGTTGTTCGTGATCCTGCTCAGGCTTCCAGTCACTCAGACCTGCATGGGGTGATATATATATATATATATAATGTGTGTGTATACATGTTTAGGATTCACCGGGTTATTGGAGCTACATGTGTTCAGATTTAGAATAGGAGTTCCAAGATCAGTATGTGGAGTTCAAGGGAAGATGTTGCTCCTTTTGTGGGGTTGTGCTGGGTGAGAAAGGTGATGCTGTGCCGTTGGTGGCTGCCTCTCCCGACGATCTTGAGACCCAGCCCTTGGATGTGGAGGAGTTGGACTCAGCGGTGGGTGATTGGAAATCAGCTGATGAATTGTTGGAGCAACATGGATTCGAGGCTCCCAATTTTGATGACTTTGTCCCCTTGCTTTCATTATGATTTATATGTGAGCATAATAATATTATAGCTGCTACATCAGCATGAATCCCCAAATAAACAACAGAGCTGTTTGGATGATCAGGTTACCCGCCGGGAGCAGATCGGGGTGAAGGTGAAGACAACGGAGGAAGCTGAGGCAGCAGCTGCGGGTGAGGATGCTGAGGAAGCCCAGGCTGAGAAGCCCAAGATGTCTGGGCGCATGAAGCGCCCAGCGGCTTGCCCACAGTCCTTGGGCAAACGAAGCAAAGGTTCTGCCGACATCAAGCCGGCAACCGAGGATGGGGTGCCAGCTCCGATGGAGGTCGATCACAATCAGGAGGTTGAGATGCCAGCTCCGATGGAGGTCGATCAGGATGAGATGTCAGCTCCGACAGAGGTCAAGCCGGACTCGTCGCATGATCATGATGAGGTGCCAGCTCTGACGGAGACTGGGGATGCCTTGGTGGCCAAGCCAAAGGCGAAAGCAAAGGCTAGCTCAAAGGCGAAGGCCAAGGCTGGCTCAAAGGCGAAAGCCAAGGCTGGCTCAAAGGCCAAAGCGAAGGCTGGCAAGGTGGTTGAGCAGGCGGAGGCCGAGACCGCAGATGGTTCAGATCCTGAGAAGGTTGCTTCGGACGACGAGTTTGACAGGGCCACGGTGCTTTTCGACGCAAACCCATTGCATGCAGCTTTCTACAAAGGACCGGAAGATGTGCCAAGGCCGACGTCTTCGGCCGAAGAGGATTCCGAGCCTGAGGCTGTGCCAGAGCCCAGTGGCAAAGGCCATGCAGGGCGTGGTCGTGGCCGTGGCGGCCGTGGCAAAAAGGGCTCCGGCCGTGGTGGCAAAGGCCGAGGAAATCCTGCTGGTGTGGAAGACGCAGCGGCTAAGGATGCTGCTCCAAAGCGTGGCAAGGGTGGCAGGGGTGGCAATCGTGGCAGGGGAGCAAAGCGGGCTGAGCACGGTTCGGAGGAGAGAGTGACGTTTGCGAAAAGGCCAGTCCCCACTCGGCAGGGAATGAATCTGAAAAGGTTCTATGGCATTCGTGATGCATTCAACAATGTCATTCGCCCTCGAGTATCGGAGGCACCATCGAAACACGAGGACCTTATCGGGTTAGGGTATGCTACGTTTCTAATCTAATGCTATCTAGGTATCCCTTTCCACATTTGTCTGATTGTTATCAGCATGGCTATATAATCCTTATATATCCGAAGTAACCTTATGGGGCTTATAGTTGTTCAGGGGACCTGGCAGGTAGCAGGTGTGACTATGCAGTGGTATACAAGACTGAGTACTGATTGTTCGTGCAGCCTTAAGGGAATTCTTGGGTATTATTAAACACCTTTTATGTGTTCGTAGAATAGTCATACTCTTAAAATATTTATATATATATATATATAGCTACCCAGCCAATGTATCAATGTAACTGTTTCATGTCACAGGACCCCTTCTGGACATTTTGCATGGCCGAGTGGTCTGAGATGACAATGACAGAGTCACTTGATTTCGAAGACCTTGCAACCCAGGCCGCGAATAAGTTTTTGAAGGATAAGCTCAAGCTCAAGCCTTCAAGATCATGACTGAGTCGTGAACCATGATGTGGGCTTCGATGGGTTGTTCAGGCCATGCAGCTCTTTCTATAGTGGATCGGTAGCTTAGCTGCTCAGCCTTCATGTTTGGGGCTTGGGGTCTCAGTGTGCATATATATATATATATGTGTATATATGCATTTATGTAGCTATATATAGTCACAAGGTTCAGTAGTCAGGAAGACACAAGGCATGATGTGGATATGTCACATTCGCAAAGCTTCACATGCAGGTCGACATGCATAGTTTTGTGTGCATATAGGCATGTGCGCCTGTCTCTGAGTTTTCCTGTTCCCCCAGCAAACCCACTAGGTGTGTGCAAACAAAAGCAGCCGTCCCACAGATCGAGATCGGTACATTGATCGAGCCCTGGGCTAAACATAGTTCAAGAACTCCATTACTTTATGTAGTTATATATCTGTGTGTATGTGTATGTCTGCAGTCATGAATGTATGTATGTACATTTCATATATGCATGTATGCATGTGTGTGTCTGTGCATTGTGTGATATACCTGTGCATATATATATATATATATATATATTTATATATACATATATACATATAAGTTTTATGTAGACATGTGTCTATGTATAGGTATGTGTGCATGCATGTATGTATGCATGTGGGTATATGTATGTATGTATGTATATGTATGCATGCATGTATGTATGTACCTTATGGCCCCCATTTCATCGTTTCTCTTATACTTCGTGGTTCTGGCATACAAGCTTCTTGTGCTTTCTGATCTGTGGCTATACATACTCGCTGGAGTGCCTGGACAGCCAGATTCGGTTCGTTTCAATGTTCCCGGGCAGAACAAACTCTTTGAAAGATCCGCTTGCAGCTCTGCCATGCTGCAGAGGGCTGTTTTGCAAGGGTAGGCAGTTCCTGG